GTGTGATTCCATTGCACTGCACCAGTTAATTGTTTGCTGTGTTGAGATGAAGCTGATGTCCTGTTCCCAGCACTTGACACATTCACTAAAGCTAGGTGGCATTTAAAAAGCCCCCATTTAAAAGCCCCCTTCTGCTGTGTGCCACATTGGATGAGCAAAACCTGGGCTACCACAGGATGCAGGAATGGGACAAAAGGGCTCTCCATGCCAGCACCAGCACTTGAGCTGTGCCATAGCCACATCCCATGAGGAAAGCACACAGCTACCCATCTTTTCCTGTGGTTTCAGAGAAACATCTTGGATGGAATGTGCAGTTCCAGAGAGCAGAGGCATTTCAAGCAAGATTTCTTTGCTGTGATGATGAGGCTCCTGGCCCTGCTGATGGTTTTTGCTCATTTCCTCTGCAAGCAGCAGCAATGCCTCCATCTCCATAGAGGACTCAGAGGCCTCAGGTGCCTTGAAGCAGGAGGAGAAATTCATCACGTAACTGACCTCCCCCAGGGCACTACAATCCCCATGCCATGGGCCAGCTCCTGAATGGGTGGGAAGCAGGTGGATGGAGCAGGGACACGTGCTGTGGCACGCTGGGGCTTGGGGCACTTGGTTATTGAGCTGAGCCGGTTATTGCCAGCAGCTAAACAAACTAATGGGAAGGATATTTCCCTGGAGAGAGAGAAGGTTTTTGATTTAGACTGTACTGTTTAAGCTTAGACTCTCACCGCAGCTAAAATTTCCTTCTGAGGGCAATAATTATCCCAGTGCAGAGCCCAAGCATGTGTTTGCTTTTCTGCTCCCTATCTGGAAGGATTTGGTTTAGGGGTCTTTGATTTCCCCTGGTGTTCAGCACCCCCTGCACCCCTTGCCCAGCTCTGGGGACCAGAGCTGGAGGGAAGCAAAGAAAAGCTCAGTGCACAGCTTTATGCAGAGATCACCCTCAGGTAATAAACTAATTACCAGGGAGAGGCACTGGTCCCTCAGGGGTTCTGCTCCAGCCCTCTGCAAGCTGCAGTCCAAAGACAGTGCTGCTGCTGCCAGCCCTGCATTTCCTCCACTGGTTCTGGAATGAAAATTGCTTTAAAAGCTCCAAGAGAAGCCATTTAGTTTTTCTAAGTGATAGGAATGGAAAAGAAAAAGGAAAGAAGGAATGGGAACACTTTTGTTCTTGCTGGCAGGTAAATGAGGTTCAGCTTTTGAAAATATATAGGGCCTCTAGTGCTAACTGCAGGGCTAGAGTCTCCAAGGAGTGATTTCTTCCTTCAGAACCATAATAATAACAATAAATGATTAAAAAGAAAACAGCCTAAATCTATATCTGTAGTTAACTCAGGACTCCTTCAGAGTTCAGGTCTGTTGCTGAATAAATAAACGCTTACTTGAAAAAGGAACCTCCAGCCTCCTGCAAATGAGAGGCAGCGAAGCAGCGCTCAGGGGCAGCCCGAACACGTGCAACACAGCCAGGGGGAAATCCTGCCAGATCAGGTTATTCTGGCTTTACTCCAGATTGGGGAACACCAGGCCTGGCTTCCTGCCCACCCGCTCCCATTGCAGAACCCTGCATCAGCCACGCTGCCCAGTGTGCTGGTTTGATGCAAGAGCAGAGAGTCAGGCTGGTGACCGCCCTCAGAGAGGTTTTTCTCTTCTGATGTGCCAAAAAAGTGAGTGCCAAAGTAGAGAAAACCTCCAAAAGAAACACATGAGGTCATGGCCACAGGAATTACTGTTTCCTCCCTCCCATGGAACAGCTGCTCCCAACCACTGCTGGTCACTGCTCCCTGTGGGCTGACACGCCGGGTGCTCAGCCCCACACCGGGCGGTGAGATAAGGCTCAGGGAGGTACCATGAGTCACAGAGGGCTGGGCAGACTTGGCAGCTGCACTGCCACACTGCCCAGCACATGGTACCCCAGCTCCCTGGGACGCCCCAGCACCCCCAGCCTGCAGAGAGGGACAGCACAGCTGGGACGCTGAAAGGTACGTAGACTTGTCCCATCCCTGACTGGGAAATGTGGTTTCTAGAGCATGACTGAAGTAATGCATTTCTTTTTACTTGCTGGCAGGTTAGAAGGTTGCATGGGCAAGGTTTTGGTTGTTCCTCCTTCTTGTAGGCATTCCTTCCATGAGATGCAACTGTGCTGGTTTCATGGTCAGAACTAATGAACTACCTGTGTTAACAGGGATTTGTAATGTGGTGGAATCAGCTGTGTGATGTGGGGTCCAGATCAAAGCCCTTTATCCGTCATGGCTATGGATGAATTTGCAGGATGTTCACTGTGCAGAGTGTGTGGTTTGTCCAAGATCAGGCTGCTTCTCAGGTTATCATGTATTTTTTCTTGCACTGCTGAAAGAGACTCAGTCTTGCTGCCCACACAGCACCAATAGAGAGGGAAATATTTTCTTTAAAAAACTGATGACATCATCTGGAGTTTTGAGAAACCAGACTAGATGGGAGGGAAGGAGGACATGAGGTGGCAAGTGCTTCCTGGTAGAAAGCAGCAAACATTGGTCAACACCCTGGATAACTACTGGATTGTACTGGGGGTAGTTTTGCCATAAGATGTCCTCTCCAGCCATTTGGTGGATCCAGCAGCTGGCCAAGCATTTTTATGAGCAGAGGAATTTATAAGCCCTCTGGCAAACAGCCCCCTCCAGTTGAGTAAGCTGGCAAAACTCAGTCAGATTGACTCCTTTTGAGACTGAAAATGGCAGTGTAGCACCCTCCATTCTCCTGTGGTGGGATAAACCCTGAACACGGGGTGGATGTGCACCCACTCAACAGCAGTCCCTCCTCTGCACCCCTGCATTCAATTTTGCAGGAAAACCTGACTGTTGGAGGGGTGACTCGATTGGTGTGGGCAGTCACCCTCTTTGGAGCCCCAGCCCCACCCCACAGCAAAATGCTCGTGTTCACAGTCAGGGACCTGCTGGAAAAAGAGGGACATGTAGGGCTCAAAAGCAGAAAAAAAAATAGAAAAAAAAAGGCAGGAGTTTGTGGGGAAGCAAAGTAAAGTTTTCCTGCAGTGCCAGGAGGCAACAGAACGTTCACCTGCTGAATCCTGGAAAACCAAACTGTGTTTCTTCTTGACAGCAATTAACTCAGCTCTGCTGAGCGGCACTTCCATCCAGAGCAGGCTTGGGTGCAGCCTTTGCCTTACAACACCATGAACCTGTTTAGCAATATTTGTCCAAGAACTCTTTTTGTTCCTGGAATGCTTTTTAAGCAAATAATTTCATGTTTATTAGACAAATAACTCTGTTTAACACCTGATATAGTTCCTTCCTTTCTCCCTCGCCTGCCAGCAGGTCTCTGGCAGATGTCAGAGCACAGGTGCCTTTTATTCTGGCACAACACTAGGAAGAAAAAAAATTATTCAGTGCAAACAATTATAAAATAATGTAATATAAATAACAGGACATGGTTACTCTCTTGTAATGCAATCAGGTTCCAGGATTTTCACTGCCTAGGGACTTCACCCAATAAATTTTATCTGGGATTAAGGTGAAGATAAACAGCCCAAATAAATATATCACTTCCCTAAAGCACTGGCATTTATTGGTTTATTTTTCCATTTCTCTTCCTCTGCAATGAAATCAGTATGTGCATAGAAAACCCACAAATTTGGTAAAGGAGAGAACTATGCAATGGGCCCCTGTGAGGCCAATGGTCACTGTAGAGGTGGGGACCAAACAGGGAGGGTTTTGCAAACCCAGTGGAGTTTTGCTCCACTCACTGTGTCCAAATCACAGTCCAGGTCTGAATCCTCACCAGCTCCTGGCTCTACTCACAGCACTTGGGGGGAAGTCAACAAGCTCCAGAAGCAAACCAATACCAATTTTGAAGTTCTTGTGTCTTGCCAAGTGGGATTCTGAGGACTGCCCCCATTTTCTGACCTCATCACTAGATCAGGCACTGGCATGGGGGAGCCAGGACTGGGATAGTGTCCCTGTGTTTAACAAGCAGAACTTCATGTTGAAAGGAGCAAAAGGGAAGAGCCTTGTACTGCCTCTCCAGATCCAGCCACAGGCAGCATTCATCCTCCAAAACCTTTAAACCATCCTTTTTCAGGTCTGTGGCTCTTCTACCAGCTCAGTGAAATGGGCCTGTTAATCCCAGCTCCATCACAAGTTTTAAAATCTGTTTCAGAGATACCATGCTGGGGGCTGGGATGGACCAGGACAAGGTGGTGTGGGGAAGGGCTGTGGGAATCACAGACCCCCCTGACACCTCCCACAGGGACAGATTCCTGTTCACAGGCCCCTTCCTCTGGGAGGAATAGCTGCTGGGCAGAAAAGGGCGATTCTGCTGGGAAGCTGCGAGCTCGGCTGATACACTACCAAAAACACACTGTCATGATACCCTAGGGTACAGAAATACCTTCCAAGGCCTCCTTTAAAACACAGACAGGCCAGTCTCCCATGGGAAGCTCGTAATTCCCTGCTGGAGCAGCTCCAGCGTATCCTCCTTGCTGCAGTGACCCAGCAGACATGGGCACAGCGGAGGGGTCTCATGGGGGAGCAGTGCCAGGCTCCAGACACCTGAAACATCACTGAGGGGCTGCCTAAAAGCCCCAGACAATGATGCTGCAACCTGCCCCTGGGTGTAGGGAAAACCAAGGGGAGCATCATATCAGGGCACTGAGGGGGGATGCAGGTCCATCCCGCCCAGGGTTCAAGGCAGGACACGCACCACAGCCACAGTCAGTAACACGGCAAGCCCTGGGAGGGGACCCGGAGCAGGGCTGGGCAGGAGGGAAACCTCTTCTCTGCTTCCTCATGACGCAGCAGCCTGAAATCAACATTTAACCCAGCCCTGCTAAAACCCGTTGCTCCTTATTTACCCATCAAACAGGAAAAGCAACTCTCAGCACGGCCCTTTTACAAATTTTCTGTCAAACAGCACTTATAGGGCTGTTCAGTTAACATCAGGCTCATTAACCAGGAGGCTCATTAACCAGCACCTATCTCACAAGTGACAATTTGCCTTAGGAGTCCAGGGTGGTTTCCACAACAGACGTTCGCCCGGACTGCAGCCTGGAATTTCAAAGGTAGGAGTGGGTCCCCAGCCCCTGGGAGGCCAGTGCGTGGGGTGGCGGGTGCCTGTCCCGTAGGTCAGGGTGGCAGTGGGAGAGAGGGCAGCAGATGGACTCGCTCGGGTGGGAAATAGTTCATGCTCCAAATTACAACCACACCCCATCCCTGTGGGTGAAGTCGCTCCAAGATTTGGCCGAGTGGGAATATTTCTGGTTTTAAGTTGGGTGTCTGCAAAGCTGCCTGCTCTGCCCAGCACAGTGGTGCTGCCCTTCTTCCTTTCTCCTTTGGATTTGAAGGAGGACAAGCTTGTTCCCAGAGGTTCCCCTAACTGGGCAAGGCCAAATCACAGCTTGTCCTCGGACAGCATTTTGCAGCCCCTAATATTTAAAACCTACTTTGCATCATCCCAGAAGGAAATGCAGCAAAGCTGTAACTGAAAATATCCACCTCATCAGCAGAATAGAAAAAACGTGATCCATTACCAAGAACACAACACGAAACAGGAGCACGGGGGCAGCAGACAGACACAGGGAAGGGTTCTGAGACTTCAGAGGGATCGAGCTTTATCAGTGCAGCCTGCTCTAGCATACAGAGCTAGGACTTATCAGGGTGGGATCAAGCACATGTGCCTGATAGGAATTTGTACATCTCTGATGATGCCTTAGCTATTACAAATATGACTAAACATAGCTATTATCTTTTCATCCAGAACCTACCTGGCTTTGGTGGGTTACAGGTACTCTTTATGGCATTGCCTTCTTTTCTTCAGGGTGACCTGTGACCATTGGCCACCTCCTCAGCTGTGCTCTCCCTCCCCAACACCATGCGGATATCAGGTGAGGGAGATATATTTACCTTTCTCTGTCCATTCTTCTACAGTTCCTTATGCCTCCTTCTCATTTACATGATGCCTTCTAAGCCCTGACCTTTCCCTGCCAGGCACATGAGAAAAGGCCTTTGTGTAAGCATCAGGTTTTTACAAGATTTGTGTAGATTTCAGCCTGTTGTATTTTTCCCAGTGAAACTTTCTGTGTCTGGGAAGAGATGGCTATTGAGACGCTCCTGGTTCCATAAGAGCTATTCAGCTGCAATAAAAGTACATTTTTCTACTCTCTTTCCATGCAGGACTGGAACGTTTTGCTCTGATGAGCGCTGTTTTAAAGCCAAATGCCAATCACATTTGTATCAGCAGCTGCTCGGCTGTAGCAAGTGACTAATTGGGAGATAGCAGTCTTCCCAGCACTGGGAACATAAGAAATATTTGGATTTACATAGCTCTCTGAGTAATTATCAGATTTACTTTAATGTAGAGAGAAATATGAATAGTGCCTCCCAGTAGAATGGTAGTGCCTATCTGAGCATCACCACATACTCCAGAGATATTAATTAAGAGATCAGAATCCATTTAGATGGTGAAGGAGTGTTAGCTGCGTTCCCACACCGTGTAAGCACTGGCTGTCACCCTGAGCCTGGTAACCTTGGGACAGACAAACCAAGTCCCCAAGAAACCAGAGGGATGCCCCGGTCTGACGAAGCTGCGGCTGCTGCTCTCACCTGGCTCCTCTCCCGCACCTTGCAGGTGTGATCCGGTGCATGGTGCTGCTCATCACACTGCTGGGCACATGGTTCATCATGCAGACGTACTTCCACCACAGCTGGAAAACCATCAGCCTGCGGAGCTGGCTCGGTGAGGCACCAACGGGGCTCCAGCCAGATTCAGAGGGAGGGTGTGGGAAGTTCCATTGCAAGCCAGCCCCCAGGGCTGGATATAGTTGCCACAAATATTTGCACTTGCAATCTCTGGCCAAGGCTATAACCACTAGCTCTGACCACCAGGGCAGGGAGGGGACAGCACAGTGGGAAGCTGCACTGGGGCAGCGTGGGTCCAGAGATGCCTGCAGCCATAGGAACCAGTTTTGGGGAGCTGGTGCCTGAACAGCTGCTCCAGGCTTGGGGAAGAGCCAGCTGCTCTCTGGGGTGTCTAACCCTCCTGCTTGATACCCACAGGTGCCAGGAACAAGCCCAGCAGTGAGTACTGCTCTCGACTTCATCTCTGTCCCACAGCTCCGCTCCAGGGTTGAGGGTGATGGTGGATGCGCGATAGCTGCCCTCAGAGCCAAGGCAAAAATCCCACCCTCCCAAGCACAGGAGGATTTGCTATTGCACACAGCAGTGGGGTTTTGGCAGGCTCTGCGAGCACACAAACCTTCATGCAAACACCCTGCCCCCAGCAGAAGCACCCTCAGGGCACAGAAGGAAGGTCATGGGTCCTGCCAGGTGGGTCCCTGCCTTGGCAAAGAGTGGGGAAACTCTGGGCAGAAAAGCCCTGAGGGTCTGGCCTTGGATACCAGCTCCAAATGCTCCTGGCACACAGCCCTCTGACCCCTATGGCAGCAGCTGTGCCATCTCACACCCAGAGCAGCACCTGGCAGCACCAACTCATACCTCCCACCCCAGGCCTCCACACCGTAAACCTCAAGCACAAAGCTGGTCCCAGCCCCAGGACAAGCCTCCTTCATGCAAGAAGCCAGTCCAGGTGTTACCCCCTTAGTGGGCCACTATCCCCAGTTCCAGCCCTGCTCAGCCACTCAGGGGCATGGCCTGTGTCCCCCTGAGGGGCCAATGCCATGGTTTGCAGCTCCACTCCTCCCTCGCAGGTGAGAAGCTGCCCCGGCACAAGTGTGGGAACCAGAAGAGCTGCCCTCAGAATTATTTTGCCTTCAAGATCATCAGTGGTGCTGCAAACGTGGTGGGACCTTCCATCTGCTTTGAAGACTTGGTGTAAGTAGCACATGGCAGGAACAGAGCAGCCGTGGCTGGCCTGGCCTTCAGTTTGGCCTCTGCCAAGCACATCAGTGGCTGTCACAGAGTATTTGTGGTTAAAAAAAATTTCTGTAAATAGATTTCTTTGCTACCACTTCTGGAGTATTTTGCTGTCTGCAGCTTCTTTGCCCCATCACAGTTTCACTGGCACCAGCATCTCCAGGGCATCCCTGCACTCACTGTGCTCTCTGCTTTCCTTTCCAGCCTCATGAGCAGCATCAAAAACAACATTGGCAGAGGCCTGAACATTGCACTGGTGAATGGTGAGTTGGGTGGGCACTGACTCCTTTTTCCCCATGGCAAGGTTTCCTTCCTCTCCCAGGAGAGAACAGGCCATTGGGGACCCCCTCCCAGGCACTGTGGCTGAGCCAAAAGCATGCCCATCTTGTTGCATGGGGCACACAGCCACAGTTATGGTTGCAAGCACTGCCAGTGAGAAGGGAACAAACCCACCTGGGTCAGTTCCACATGCATGACAGTTCCACGAGCTCCTCCAAGCAACACAGAAGATATGACACGCTGAGGGAAGAGCAAAGCATTTGGAGTAGGAACCCCTGGCCCATGGTCAGGCAAAGCCTAGAGCCACCCCAGTGCAAACTCACTGTGCTCTGTTTTCAATTTTAACCTTTCAGGAACAACTGGGAAGCTCCTGAAAACTGACTCATTCGACATGTACTCTGGAGGTGAGCACCATCACTCTGCTGCTTAGTGGTTCCCAGCCAGGGTTCACACCAACACTGCTGGCTGCTGGCTACTTCAGCTGCTCCTCTGTCATGTATTTAACCATAAATTTGAGTGGACTTTGACCAGAATTGCCAGCCTGGGTGGTAAAAGCCCAGCTTTCCCTGAGGCCATCAAGCCTGGAGTCCTCACAATGCATCCACATCCAAGATAGGCTTCTCACTCCTTTTACGTGCACCCAGTAGCCTGGAAAACATAATTTCACTAACCTGAACAGACCAGGGCACTCGAGATTTGAGAAAGGTACTTTCTGAGATCAGGTAGTTAATCCTGATATTTTGCAACTTGCAATTCAGTTTTTGAATGCTGGTGGTGGCTGAGCAGCAGTTTGTTTCCCTGCCTTTCGTGGAAGAATAAATGAGGGAGCTCAGGGCATGGCAGTGAGACACGGCCTCCGGGCCCAGCAAGGAGCATGGCAGCAAAGACCTGTGCCTGCTGGCTTCAGACAATATTCCTAGCAGCAAATAGATGCCCTGAGTCAGGGCAGCACCTGGCTGACACTGACATGCTGGATGCTGAAAATCCCACCACTGTTGCCAAGCTGTTACCAAATCGCTCTGCAGCTTTGGCAGGACTCATCAAAAACCACGTGTTAAAATCATCCTTGTAGTCCATTCAATTTTCCCTTTTCTGTTCAAGCCTTCCCTAGAGATCAGTCCCCCTCTACGCTCCTTGGTTTTGCCACTTATTCTTGATAACTCTGGATTTTTGAGGAGAATCGCCAATATAATGGTATTTCCAGCTGAGTTCATGAGCAAGATGCTTGATAGAAGAGGTACTGGGAACGAGAAGGCAGTCGGCTCCTGTGCCACTAGATGGGGCATTGGATTCAAGCATCCCACAGATGCAGGATGAGGAATAATTCCCTCAATACAGCCATGATTGCAGGGCAGGCAGCTCTGTGCCTGGGCAGGTTCATTTCTTGTGTCAGGAAGTAAATTCACATAACTAGATTTCACAGTTAGCGAGCAAAGTTTAGAAGCAATTTCCACCCTGCAGTTGTACTGAGAGAAGGACATCAGTCCTGGGCGCTGCAGGAAAGCCCAAGTGGGAACATAGGATGGGGAATGCAGCATCTGGGACCCCACCCTTCCCCAAGTCCATGGCCCCAAATCCTGGCTAGCACCAGCATTTTCCACTGACCTAGGGGAGGCTCCTCCAGCTACCACACAACAGTCCCTGCTAAATCCCTTTTTCTCTTCCCAATGCTCTTCTCTCCCAGACATTAAAAAGCTGGAAACCTTCCTCCAAGGGATCAGGCGCGGCACCCTCGTGCTGACAGCAAGCTACGATGATCCTGCCACAAAGTGAGTTTGCCCATGGCAGCAACACTGGGTTCCCCAAAAACCTGCAGCTGGGGGAGCTGCCAGTAGCAGAGAGGGACAGGAGGGGACACCCACCTGGCAGCACACTGCCACCCTCTTACCCTCTTTCAGGATGAATGACAATGTACGGGCGCGTTTCATGGAGCTGGGCAGCAGCCACGTGAGTGAGCTGGGCTTTCGGGACAATTGGGTCTTCTTGGGAGCAAAAGGGCTGATGAACAAGACCCCCTTTGAAAAGGTACGTGGTCCCCCCCTGACACCAGCTCTGGAGGCTCCATCCTCTTCATAGCACCTCCCAAGCTATATCTCACCTACCTGTCTGCAGAAGACAAGGGCCAGTGGCATTATCCTCCACGACAAGCCAAGCTGCAACTTCTGCCACGTTGCAAACTTGCACTATGCCACCAACCTCCTCATTAGTTTTCTCTCTCTCTTTTTTCTTGCAGCACATCAAAAATGATAAGGAGACAAATAAGTATGAGGGCTGGCCTGAGCTGCTGGAGATGGAGGGCTGTGCCCCCAGGAAGATGGATTAGCATCAAGCTCTAGCCTGCCACACAGGGCAACCTCCACCAGTCCCACAGGTACACCAGCTCCATCGTGGAGATCCCAGCCTCTCCACTTCCCGGTCACACAGCCCAGCAGCTGCTGCCTGCTCCCAGGAACCGTCTTTTTCACAGCAGGAACTGTGCAGGGTTTGGAGAAGAGCTGCACAAGTGCTTGGAGAGCCTGAGCAAACACCTGGCCAAGTTTCAGCCAAGCTGTCCTACTCTATGGGTCAATTTGGGGTATTTTATTTTTCTGTCTTTAAACTAAAAACTTTGTAGAATGTCTTTTAAACTTCTTAAATGAGATTTCTAATTATAACACACTACCTTCTCATTTCCATTTTCAAGTGTAATCCACACTTTCCCCCAAAGGCACAGCATGCCAGGTCCTCTGCCACCAGTCAAGCATCACCATCACCCATTCCACAGCCCTGCACATGGGTGCTCCCCCTCCCCACATGGCACAGGGTAAAGTCATCCCAAGTTCAGACCTTGGTGGTTTTCCCCTGGAGCTCTTGCCAGTGCCCCACAGTCTCCTACAGCCACAATAAGGCCAGAAGTCCACAGGGATGCCATGCAGCAATGTAGGTTAATACTTGCAGACCAAAGCAAGTTCTCCACCTGGTTGCATCTTTCCTGGGTTAAGTCTTTAGCTGGGTTAAGCTAAATCCTCTGTGACACATCCCCATCAGGATAAGGCCAGGGATGTGCCAACCTGACTTTGGCCTCAGAGAGAGACAGATGGATGAATGTGCAGGTGTCTTGGGTAGTTGAAATTGTGCAGCATAACCAATAGGTGGGAGCCTTTTACCAGGAGAGCCAGAGCCAACATCACTCTGGAGCGACATAATGCACCCAGGCTGGCACCCCCCTGCAGGCACCCACACACCTGCTTTGCTCCAGGAACTGCACCCCAACCTGGGGCCAGCCAACACTACCAGGAGGGGAAAGATCCCTGCCCAAAGGCAGGTTGGAAAAGCCACGCAGTCCTCCTCCTAGAGTGGTTCCTAGGCTGCTGCCCAGCGCTGAGCAGATCCTGGGGGAGCATCTGCCCTCACTCAAGTCCGGATGCATCACCCAAGCACAGTCTGTTCCCAAACCCTCCCTGAGCACCAGCACTGCTAAGATAAGAGGAGCTGTGCCGGTGACAGACGGGCTTATCTGTCATCACCGACAGGGATGAATTTGCATCATGTACAGACTTTAATTTCCGATGATTATATCTGGTTTTTCCCCATTCTTTGAAGCAGACCAGCAGTTTTGCATAACGTGATAGTGGAGCATTTCTGCTGGAGCACTTGGAGCTGCGGGGGGTAACAGGCTGTCCTGCATGGCCTTCTCTGACTCTAACAGCCTCAGCACAGGTCCTGACAGGCAGTTCACAGAGTCATCCGAGCCCTCAGGTCACCCCAGAGCAACAGAAGTGAGGAGCATTGGCAGGATAAAGCCAGGAAAGGACACAGCCTGTCCTGTGTTGGTCACCTGAGGGATGAAACCCTGGATCCAAAACCCAATGCCACCAATCAACTGGTTTTCCCTAAGAAAGGAAAAATGCCCAAACAAATTGTCTAACACTTGTAAGAACTTCCAAAGGTAAAACTGAAATAAAACCCCAAAACAACCATCAGAGGAATCCCCCAAGAGGTGTAGTACTTTATCCCAGCTTATCCTCCCACGCTCTTAACACACACCTGATGGCACAGAGGGAAGCCTCTGCCATAAATCGATCCCTAAATCTGCTGCAACAACAGTGGTTAATCCCAAGCGCTGAATCATCCCTACCCGTGGCAGGAGTGAGAAATAACACAAGGCAGCAGACACAACAGCCCTCACATCACACAGCCCCGCAGCGCTGCCAGCATAAATATGCCAACTATTTTAAGCCCCCTCAAAGGATCTAGATTCACTCATAAACCAAACTCAAAACAGCCCAAGAGCTGTAAAGGTGGCTGCATGGGGTAAACCAGAGCACAGCGTCAACTACAGCCCTGAAAACAACCAGCCCCTTTCAGCTGCAGGAAACTCTTCCTAACCCTTCACAGTGCACATTAGAAATCTGGTTTAGAGCCAAAATAAAGGAAATTTATGTTTCGGCACACTACAGGCAGTTAAAACTAGCTCTGAATCCATCATGGAGCAGTTACTAAGGTACATCACTATTTGCAAGAAATAGAGAGAGCTAAAAGTAAAACTGTGCAGGGGTCTTCATTAGCAGCCAGTGTTTTGAAGAGCCATTCCTGCCAAAGTCTCCGTGTCCTGATAAATAAATCACTGCTTTTCAAATATCCAGAAACTGGGAGGCAGAGTATAAATATGGATTCAGGAGTCAAATTGAACTTGCTATTTTTTTTAGAAAATTTGAAAAGGACGGTGGCTACAGGGACAGCAATCCTCAAATGAGGTTTTCCAGTGCCTTGGAGTATTGAAAGCTGTATTACTAAGGGGACAGGCACCCACCTGGCTGGTTTTCACTGTGCCACATCCCCCGGAGTCCTCACCAAACACAAGCCTGATCTGCTCAGCCTCCCAGAATGCAGCTTCAGGTAATCTGGCTCACCTGAGGTCACAGTAGGCTCCAACGCTGCAACAGCAAAGAGGCAGCCTGGGGTGTTTGCAGGAGCAAATTTTGCAAAATCCAGTGCTGCAACAGGAGCCAAGAGCCAGGATGCAGGCACATAGCAGAGGGATAATCCTCCTTTATTTTTTGGTGTTTATTTCAGCAAAGCACCAAAGGAGCATCGAGGAAAGATGCCACAGGCAAGGACCTGCGGGTGCCGGGCCCGCAGCTGGGCGAATCCGCATCCTGTGACATCTTGCCCTGTCAAGTGCAATTATTGTAATCTTCCACAGCCTCTCAAAATACGGATCCCGGCTTAGAAACCGGGCATCCACAGCATGAAAGCTGCCTTTGTGCCCGGGCAGAGCCTGGGTGCGAGCCAGCCTTTAGGTGCATGAAGAAAATGAGTTCTCCACGTGCTGGAAGAAGGGAGGAAAAGCAAGCTTTCCCGCCCGACCCCACCACAGACGGGCTGGATTTCACCCACGTCTCCCCGGAGCAGCCGCCGAGGGGCCGGGAGCTGCAGGGCTGCCTATCCCCCCGGGAATAACGGAGCCGTGACCACAGAGAGCTGGCCGGTCCCACACCCCGGAGAGTGGAGCGCAGCCAACACATCCGACCATGGGGGCGTCTCACGGGAAGAAGGTAAGGGGGCAGTTTTATGCAGGGCTGTGGTGGTGGGAGGATGGAGAGGGCACCATCTGCTCACGTGGTGCTTGTTTTGCCCCGCGCGTGCTAAGGCGCTGATGGCAGCGAGGGATTAGAGGGGAAGGGACCCGCTCCTGGGTGTGGGTGCCACTCGTCAGCGCCGGATTAAGTAATTCCATCTAATGGGCTCAGCACTGGGGCCTGCTGGGCTTTTCAGGACAGCAAGGAGGGGATCAGAGCATTGCAATAGGACAGACAAAGTTTGGCTTTTCTGGGGAGAAACATCAGGTTTGTTCCGAATGTGTCAGGCAGCCTCGTAGGCTGTCTCCCACAGGTGCACTACAGAACAAGCCCTGAGTGTTTCTTGGCCTGGGAATTGCTGCCAGCTCCCTCCCAGGACAGGGAGGAGCTCGGTCAAGTCCCACAGCACCCACACGTATCTCCCTCTCCTCCCAGTCCCCTGGGGAGAGCGGTCAAACAGCTCCAAATGGAAACAGAGTTTTATGAAGTCAGAGCTCTGTGGAGGCATCTAGAGATGGCTGTGCTGAAGACGCTGTTAGATGTCATTTTGCTTTCATGGCTGATGACATCAGTGCCTAGAGATGCATCATCACCATTCAGTCATGATGCCCTGATCTGGAATTAGACTTCCATAGCTCATCTTCCAGCTCTAAGAGAAATGCACTTGTGCACCATACTAGGTCAGTAACTTCTACTGGAATGGGGACAGCACTGGCCCTTTGCTGCAGGAGGGACCTTTCATGCTCAGCTGAGCATGGCTGTGACCTTCAGAGGTGTGGGCACCTCCAAACCAGGTGCCTTGCAGAATTTTGCAAACTTGCTGGACTTTCTTCCAAAACTAGAGATCGACACTCTTGCAGGGAAAACATGCAAAAAAGCAACCCACTGGCCAGTGTGACCAACATCCAGAAGGAAAATTAGAGGTGAAATGGGACTAGTAAACATTTACCTATTTTTCTGGACTTCCAAGAAGTGCCAGGTATAGGAGGTGCCGCTCCCAGCCAGACCCCTGCTTCTCCAACACCCATCCGAGGTGCCAATGCCACACTGACTCCAACCATGGCCGTTCCCGGGGCTCGGGGCTACAACAACACACCCAGGAGGAGCCATGCTCTGCCCACAGCTAATCCCTAGACCCCTGCTCACGTGGCTGTGACCTTCAGGCCCCGGCGCATTTGTACAGGCATTACTGGAAGCAGGGAAATAAGCTGGTTAGGTCAGGCTTGGCTCAGCGCCACCCGGTTAAGCCCTGCTGCATACAAAGCAGTCCATGCCAGCCTCCTGACCACCAGACCAGACGGCTTTTGGACAGCTTTCCTGACTGTTCCCTCTCTCTGAAACACCATGATCCCACTGCAGCCCGGCACTGAATGGCCTGGCTTTGAAACACTGCCGGGATCTCGGGCTCTCCCGTCACACCAGCTTGCTGGAAGCTCCAAAAAGCTCAGAGACAGTTTTATTTTCATGGGTACCAAAAGGTCAGAGATGTCACTCTCATTTCAGCCTCCTAAATGCTGCCTGGGTTGACAAAAGCCTGTGCCACTGCCCAGCTGGCACCAAGCAGGGATGTCTGACTGGGAGCTCCTGGGTCAGTGCTTTACCCTTAGGCTGATGCTGATGGGGGATGAAAACAAGACAGCTCCTTCTGCTGCCTTTCTAGGGTGGGCATGAAAGCAGGATCCAGCCCTCCTGAGGACCAGCTTGGGTCCAGGTGATAGGCAGGAAAACTCTCCTTCCCCCAGCCCTTGCAGAACCAGCAGAGCTCAGGACACAGGGACCTGGCA